TATTGTTAACGTTATGACACTATTTAAACATAATGGTGACCCCTAGTGGATATTCTGTATAACAGACCGAAAGACCAGGAACCCCCAAACTGAAGTCGTCATTGTGTAATCAGAGATTAATCTTTTTCTTTGTCTCTGAAGTATGTCTCACACTAGAATTTAGAATTTTTGAAGAATACTTGATTTGTGAAATTTGCAGCTCTCATTCTAGCACTTACCTGTTTGGGTGCCTTTTTAAATTACTTTGATTTTACATATAACTTTCTGTGAACGAACAATGAAATGGTAAAGAACTCCAGAATACCTCTTTCCAGCTACTCAGGGGATTTTATGTCCCATCTGATTTTTATAAGTACATAGAAAAGTTTTTAACATATACACAGTTGTAATCATATTATATACGTGACTTGACATCATTCCATTTAGACCTTTTCACATGTTTGCATAGTCAACATAGTTCTCATTTTTTTTTGATATTGATTATGCTGATACATGAGTTAATTCTGTCCTTGCTTTTAGCATCTTAACTATGGTAGTGAAATTGTACACATCCTATTCAGAGTAGAGAAATCTCTATTTTGGGGTCCCAAGTAATTCCTGAGTGTGAAACTCTGGCAAGGGAATGACTCATCTTTAGGTAGCATCTTGCCTGCCCAGCCGACACTGGACATGCTGTTAAATAATGCCCTACTGTGCTCCTGTATCCCCATACCCTTATCTTCTCTTTGATGAGACCTGAACTATGTTGTTTCCTGCCATTTCCAGGATAAACTGTTGCCCTGGCAGATAAGCTAATGTGGGAATAAACCTTCCAAAATTATTTTAATCCAGCTAAGACATAGTTTTTCCCTGCTCACCTCCAATTATGTGTTGATTTGCCAGTTACTTTTAGAGAAAGAAAAAAGGAGACAGGATTTTAGAAGATTGGAAAATCCTGCTCATGGTGTCATAATTTATCTAGGAAGCTGAAAACTGAATATTATTTTAATTTATTTTAGTCAGAATCTGCTCTATATGGTATGACCTTCAATTTAAGAAAATTCAATACTTTTATTTTCTTCTTTACACTTAACTATTACCTGGATGTTCTGAAATGAACATATATTATTTTTATAACCTGAAAAGAAGACTTTTCTAAATTATAGAAAAATCAGTAAAGCCTGTGGAAAAATATATAAACTATCTAAAATTTTATCACCTAGAAATAGCTGCTGTTAACATTTTACCGTATTGCTTCTAGTTTTTTTCAATGCATATATAAAATATATTTGTAAATCATATATCCTGAAAAATAAACTTCAGTACTTGGGAATAAAAGTTTTTAAAATTTATATATGAATTGGAGAGTGATTATTTCCATTCAAAAAGATGAACTACACTTTATACCTCCTCTGTTACGAAGTAATTTGATTCCTAGGAATTCATTTTACTTTTTTTCCTTTCTCTTCTCTTTTAAAACCTCTTTCATACTTGAAGCAGGTATATTACACATTTGAACCGAAAATGTTATATCAGAAATCCATGTTTTTGTGGCATTATGCTTTGGGTACCTGAGGAATGCTCACTGAACAAATTTGTCAGCTGCTTATTGAAACTGCAAATCAACCTTTTAGTTTTGTTTCTGGCAAGCTACAATGAAATGTTTGTCATGATTTTAGACTAAAAGAGTCCTGGTCTGCTTGGATAACTAAATTCCTGAGGGAACTGAGATAAACATTGCAAAGCGTCATCCTAATGTTGCTTAGTGAATAGCCTGTTCTGAGGCCTTTTTTTTTTTTTTTTTGGTACCAGTTCAGTAGATCTCTTGGCTAAGTGTCATCTGACTGTCAGTTCTCATTAGATATCATTATTTGTGTTAATTTCCTTGTGGTTTGATCCGTGATAACCTCTAGGTAATCTCAGTGGGAATGTTCATTCTCTCCAGTTCTTCCTCAAACAAATGTATCATCTTCCCAGTTTCCTGTCACCTCCCTATCATTTCTTTGTGTCGAGTTTTTATTCTTTAGCCCACCTTATTTTCTTTTTCTTAATTAATTACATTTACAAACATAAGATAAAAGCCTGAGTAAGAGAGAAATTGTAAAAAATACATAAACCATTTGTGTCCATCCTTTGTGAAATGAGAATCAATATTCCTTTTATACTTTGGATAATTAATATCTAATTCAAAAGCACCATGTTTTTTAGCAGAGTGGTTTGGTCTATCTCAGCAAATTTGCTTATTTTTTAAAAATCAATGATCGGTAATTTATATATTCACTGTGATCCTCTCCCCACAAAGTAATACAAAGCTAATGTTTTAATGTGCTATCTGTTTAAGCCAAGCCATTTTCTCTGTGCATATTTGCAAGCAATGTAGCTCATGTGTGCTAATATGATTTCCTTCCTGTATATATTGTCTGACTATACAAATAAAAATAGCCCCTTTCTGATTTTTGTTCTCTAAGGTTGATTGGAATGTTTTAAATAATTTCTCTAATGAATGGTCGCAAACTATGTGGAGGGGTTTTTTTTTGCAGAATCTTTCACATGAAAGCAGGTGATTAAAAAACAAAACAAAACTTTTGTCCAGCTGCTGACTATAAATCCTGAAGCATTTAGATACTCCTAAAGTAAATTATTAATTCTAATTGCTTTCCTCTTAAGAGTTTTGGGAAAGTTTTCATAACTTTTTTTATAACCTTTTCTGGTTGAGAACTGGTGGAGTTAGATCGGGTTTGAATCTTGGTTCTGTCATTCTCTGGCTCTGTGACTTTGAGTAAAATAATGCATGTCTCTGTTCTTTTTTCTGTAATAAGTTGAAAGTGGTAGTGCTGACTTGGTAGGGTTGTTGTGAGGAATAAATAAGAATAAAATGTGAAAACTTTTTATATGTGCTTCTCTGTGCACAGTGCCTGGCACAAAGCAAACACTTAAATGTTTGCTTTTATTATTATAGACTGAGAGTTGGCAAGTTTTTTCTATAATGGGCCAGATAGTAAATTTTTCAGGCTTTGAAGATCATATAGTCTCTGTGGCAACTAATCAACTCTGCCTTTACAGTAAGAACACATCATAGGCAATATGTAAATAGATGAATGTGGCTGCATTCTGATAAAACTGTTATAAAAACAGACATGCTATAATTTGTTGATTCCTATTCTAAAGTAATAAAACTAACAAATTAAATAAGGTGTTGCAGTGTTAAGAATTCAGTATAGTTCTTCTGTGAGATGGATTATCAAGACAATTGAGATAGATTAAAAACTTCAATTTGCAAACCCAGACATTACCTTTCAAAATCTCAGTGTTAAAACATGTTCTACTCCATTAATATATTTTATAATAAAAATCTCAGCTACCAGGAACCATCAAAAATAAACATTTCTAGATCCATAAAAGCTCTTTAGTGGAGAACGTCCTAAAATGTACTCTTTTGCCTTAAAAATAGTGTATAAAAAATAATCTTAACCATTTAAAAAAATAAAATTCTTTAGGTTATATCCTATGATTTTGTGGGTCAGGAATTTGGTCAGGGCTCAGTTGGGTGAATTTTTTGCTTTGCGTGGTGGCAACTGGGGTCACCAAGTGCTTTTCCCCTAGTGTATAGGCTGGTCTGGAAGGTGCAAGATGGCTTCACTCACATATCTTGGCACCTTGGCAGAGGCAGATGGAAGGCTGGACTCAGCTGGGACTGTCAGTTGGCTCTCTTACACATGATCTCATTTTTTGTAAAATGATATGACGTTGTCATTATGAGTCCCAGATCCTGTAGCACCATGACGCCCACGGCCTTTACCGAGGTATGTGAGACTGGTGCTTGTACTCTCCAGACCACTGTGCTTTCAGTCTGCTTTTTAAATTTTTGGCTTTATAAACCGATTATCAGCTGTGGTCCGGAGCAATGCATTTGCTGGTTAGGTTATATGTTACTATTGTGGGCACTTAATTTGCTAGAGGTGTAAGCTGCCTTGCTGGGCACAACTAAGTGCTATTAAAGAAACTTAAAATATGCTTTTAGCAAGGAGGAAATCCTGCAACATGTAACAACATGGGTGAACCTGGAGGATATGATGCAGAGTAAAGTAAGCCAGTCCCAGAAGGACAAATACTACATGCATTCCACTTAGACGAGGAATCTAAAATAATCATACTCATAGAAACACAGTAGAATGGTGGTTGCTAGGGGCTGAGAGGATAGGGAATGGGGAGTTTCTCTGCTAATGGGTAAAAAGATTTAATTATGCAAGATGAGTAAGTTCCAGAGATCTGCTGTACAGCACTGTGCGTATAGTTAATATTGTATTGCGCACTTAAAAATTTTTTAAGAGTATATCTCATGTTGAATGTTCTTATGTTTTTTAAAAAAATTATGGCTTAAGAGTTAATACCATTTGAAAAAAAGAGGCAGTTAAATATCAGAACTTAAGATGTTTTTCTTATTATTGTTTTACCTGCTTATTTCTACTTTTCCCATATTCTCAAGACAGCAAATGTTGGGAGGGCAGAGTATGAGGACAGGCCAGGGACTAGAAAGGGGCAGAAGTTCAGGGGTTACTCCAGTTGGAAGACGGACTAGTAGATATGACTTGAAGCTATGTTTGCATAGTAAGCACCCTACTTTTGCTTAAATGATGTGTTTATTTGGAATACCTTATATTGGAGAGGCCAAAGCTCCCCAGTTCTCCTTTGTACCACTGTGCAGGATTAGGTAGTCATAGACGTCCCCCAGCCCCACCACTTTACTAGTTCTTAGAGTCTCTGGAATGGCTTATTCACTTTACCCGTATTTTTGCTGTTTCTCCCATATCACCTGTTCACAGTTATGGTTCCAAAATGATTTTATTAGCCCAAATGTCTTTGTATTATTTTTCTGTATGTATATTAAAGCTCTCTAAACTTTTACTATAAATGAGGTAATAGTACCTACCCTCAGAGTATTGTGGGAATTATGTAAAGTACTCTGAAACCATTAGCTATTATTGTTATCAGATAACCATCTTCCAAACTTCCTTTTTTAGAAACCGATTCAGCAGTACAGAAAGAACATAGAAACCAGACACCTGCTCCATCTGCAGCTCAAACTTCTGCTCCTTCTAAGTACCACCGAACTCGATCTGGGGGAGCCAGGGATGAACGATATCGATCAGGTGAGAAGAAACTGACAAATATCAGCGAAATAGCTTTTACTGACTTAGTATGATCTGTGTATCCTGAGAGCTTTTAACATTTGTTTTTTTTTTCCCCTCAGAGCACCAGCAGTTCTATGTTTATTTATTCATTAGTCATTTATTAAATACCTATTATATAGGTATTTATAATAGGTATAGTAGGTAGAGTAGATACTCAGTATTTGCTGGGGATGCAACATCAAATAAGACATTTCTGCCCTCAGGGCAGGGATGGGGAGCCAGATAAGTACAAAGGCAATGTGAGTAAATAAATAAGCGGGGAGAGCCAGGATCATGCTGGGTAGTATGTAGGGAGAGCTCAATGGACTCTATTGGAAGAGTCAGGCCTTTCTATATTTGTTAGAGTTGTTAATTTAGTCTCTTAACTAAATGGAGCTGGAACAACAACTTACAATGAAATTTCAGAGTAGTAAACCCTTAAATTTTATTTCTTCTGACCCAAAAAGTACCTGCGGGAAAGGAAAAGCAACACTCTATGGCTAGCAATGGAAGCATGAGCCTGCCATATCATGTTCAAGACTGATGAGCAAGAAACACATCATATACCCAAGCCCAGTTTCCCAGGCACCCAGTGTTGCCTTTTGTGGCTGGGGCCCAGGTTCAGTAGCAGCGTATTCTGACTAGGCTGGAGGAGTTTAGACTTTACAACTCTCATCCCTGGCCTTCTAGGAGTTTTTGGCTCTCCCCACCCTTTGTTTGTTTGTTTGTTTTTACAGCACATAAAGGGATTAGTAAAGAACTAAAAGATGTTTCTCTACATTCTGTGTCCAAGCCGATTGCATTTACGAAAAAGTTTAAGTGAGCTCGTTCAGCAGTGTAAAATTTTGACCTTCATCTAGTAAAACCAACTGTGATCTCTAGCCCCGCCCCGTTCTGTTACACCAATTTTTTTAGATTTACCCTAAATATCAGAAAGTGTAGTTTGTGAATTAAATACCAGACTGTTAGCAGACTGTTCAGTGTCTTGTCTTGGTTAGGTGCAGGGGTATTGAAAAGGATTTAATAGTCAAGTTTTGGATATTTGTCTCACAGGGAACTCCCCCCTGCCCCGTTTTAAGGGTAGGTATGAGATGTAGGCCACAGAGGAGGTAAAGTAGGGAAGAAAGGGTTATTTAAAAACTCTGAAGATATTGAAAGCTATGAGAGTACTACAGTACTCTCATGAAGGAGAATAGGAAAGGGGAAGCAATTCATGCAAGCATGAATTTTGGTGAAGATCACTTTTTTTCAGTACATTAGGAATTGCTCAACTAAATAGCAAAGGAAAGCTCAGCACGTTCTGAGAATTGTGGCTTCCATGAATAAGAAGAAACCAACAACAGTAGCAGAAGAAGAGCAAATAAGTTATAGAAATTGAGGGGAGTTGAACTTTACTACTCTGCCACTCCATTCATAGGAAAGATTACATTTACAAGTCACATGCAAAAACCGCTTAAGAATGTAGGGTATGTTTCGTGAAAATCATAAGCATTCAGAGTAAAGTGATGGGTACACAGAAAGATGTAATATTGATGTCAGTAAGTTCAACTAGAAAATCCTCTCTTATTTCATGGAGGTTTATTAATGCCTATGATATTGCAACCATTCATATTCAAATCTAAATAGACTTAGTGTCTCATGTTTCAGACTCAGTGTAAAGAGCTTATATTTATTCAGAGTTTAGATCATCTGACCTAATTCTGCTCTCTGTGCTTAGCTAAGAGAATCTGCCATTTCAAATACACTTATTTAGTACCTCTTTTTCCTGCACATCAGGGCATGATATACCTTTCTACATGCACGTTATGGTCACAAGTGTAGAAATGCCTGAGATGAAAAGTGATCTGATTGTAAGTTATTCTGACAACTCCTTTAATGTTAATCTTTTGAGTAGTTAGCCATCTCAAACAAAACAAAACAAAAAAAACAAAAAGGGACTTTAAAAGAACATTTGTATCATCTTATTCAGCTCAAACATTAGTGCTGGAAAATGATACCCAGCTCTCATGTGCTTCTGGCAGAGATATCCAAAGTCAGCTATATCTGGGGACTGAACTTTGGAAGTGATTTCTTTATCAAAGATCAAGATGAATTGTATGCTGGTGAGTAAGTCAAATCCAGTTGAGGGAGCTGAGCTGCCAGTTCTTATCAATATGAGGCTTTGCTAATACAGTAACTGTGAATATCTCCTTTTGACATGGATGTATGGGCCAGGGTTAATGTTGGAAAATACATCAGTGTTTTGATTTGTTCTGTGTTCTGATGCTATGAATCCTTGCAGCAGAGAAAAACATGCTCTGTAATTATTAATTATCCAAATTTTATGAGCTTTCTAAAGCTTGTTTAATGTGAGTAATTCTTTAGTTTTAGCAAGTGTACTATCACATGTTTCATGTCTCATGGAAAAATATACTTTTAGAAATGTATATTTAATTATTAAGTGTTAGCATTGATTTGCTGTTGTTCTTTTGTTGAGAAGGTCCTTTTTCTCAGTATAAGCAGTTAATAATTTGTTTTCCAAGACAGCTAAGAATCATATATCATCTAATATAAAAAGAATACTTTTCACATTTTAACATATCTGAGATCAGGATATGTTTTTTATAAGATGGCGTCATAGATTCAACTAAATATGACATTCTTAATTCAACTAAATTTCAAGGAAACTAAAATAGTATAAGAAACACAAACACAGTAGAAATTATTTCACTTTAGAGCCAAAAGTAAGTTAGTACTGTGGTTTTAAAAGTGATAGCACAACAGTTTGGCAATAGCTTTTAAACTTTAAATATTCATACACTTTGACCCAGATATTCCACTTCTAGGAATTTATTTTATGTAAACACCTACAGATATGCATATATATATATAAAAAATATATATATATACACACACATGTATATGTATGTTGTAGTATTGTTCATAATAATACAATGGTTAAATAAGTTATAGTATGTTTATACAATGGAATTCTATGAAAGTTGATTTCAAAAGTTTATGAAGGTTCATAGGCAAAAAGTGAGGTAGATCTATTTGTGCAGATATGAGAGATGTACCAAATATATTTGTAAGTAACAAATGCAAGATAATTTGTAGCATATGATCCAATTTTGTACATATTAAAAACAATAATTAGTATGTGCACAGACACAGAAAACTGGAAAAATATGTACCAAACTATTGAGGTGGGATTATTTTTGGAAACTGGTGGGTCTAGGGAAAATGTTCATTCAGGATTTTATGTGTTTAGATCTTTTTCCAATATGTCTATTAATTCTTCCAGTTTTTTTTATTGTGGTAAAATACAAAATACATATAACAAAATTTGTATATTAATTTTAAACAAAAAAAATGACAAAGATAGGTTTTAAAGTGCTAGCTTTGGATAAATAATTTGAAAAGGTTTAATCAGTTGCTTAAATCAGTTATTGGTTTCATTGATTTTTACTTTAAATGTGGATTCTTCTGACTCAGTGCTGGGAGCTAAATGTAACAGTTACTCTCCCTGTCACCCAAATTGAGAACTTTCCTGTCTCTGTCCAAATCTGGTTTCTACCTCTGGTCACATTTGCTAAGATGATTGCCACTGGTACACCAGGACCATTCTGTTTCTATATTAATACGTTTTCTTATACCAAGGAAGGTAAATTGAGTTCAGTTCAGCAAGCAATTTTATAGACCTCCTATGAGTCAAGCAGAGTTTAGAGGCTAGAGAAACATAGATGAAAACACAAGAATCTTTTATACAAGGTACAGAGGCAGCATAGAAATGAGAGCTACAGGAGACGTAGCCTGGCTACTAGGCACTGTCAAGAACAGGCTTCACGAAGGTGGTGAAGTCTGAGCCATTTTGAAAGATGGCTAGCCATTTGCTATGTAGATATTCCAGGCTCAAACAAACAAACAAACATACATAATTTGTAAGGGCAAGGGAATGTGAAATGCAAAATTAAAATTTCACTGCCCCTCCCCACCAGTACACAGAGTAGTGCCAAAATTAATATGATATCCTAATGTGCCAGAATTTAGTAGTTGGTGCCTCTGCCTTAATTTAAAATGTTAAAGTGGTTGGTGCCTGCCGGTGTCCATTCATCCGTCCCTCCATCCGGCTGTCTGTCTGTCTATCTAAAGTAATGTCCTAATAGTTAAGGGCCCCTGGTCCTTAAAGCCCAGCTATGCCACTTATGTATGATGTCTTAACTACTTTGTAAAAACAAGCCAAGAATAGGAGCACCTCCTATAAAACTGTTAAGTAACATTTTCCATGAAGATGAAAATGAAATGGTTCAGTATTGTCCATAGATGTGGGGAAATAGACACTCTCTTACCTTGCTGGTAGAAATGTTATTTCTTTCATTAATAATGGTATTGGACATTTGGAGATGTGTTTATTATTCATTTGTGTTTCTTCTATAAACTGCCTATTCATTGCCTAATATATTTTTAATTGCGTTGTTCATTTTTTTTTTTTGTATTTATTTACAAGATCTTTTTTTTTTCTTTTAATCCTAAGGATGCTAACATTCAATCTCCTTACTAGTTATAGGTCTGTTCAGATTTTCTATTGCTTCATGATTCAGTTTTGGTAGATTGTATGTTTCTCAGAATTTATGCATTTCTTTAGGTTATCCAATTAGAGATGTATGATTACTCATAGTAGTATCATAATTTTATATTTCATGGCATCAGTTATAATGTTTCCTCTTTTGTTTCCAATTCAGTTACTTGAGTCTTCTCTCTTTTTTCTTAATTTAACTAAAAGTTTCTCAATTTTGTTGATCTTATCAGAAAAACAACTCCTATTTGATTTTTTTTGTTTTTTTTTAATTCTCTAATTTGTTTATTTGTTCTCTAATCCTTGTTAGTTCCTCCTTTTGCTAACTTTCGCTTTAGTTTGTTCTTTTTTAAGTTCCTTCAGGTGTAAAGTTGTCATTTTGAGATCTTCCATAAAACTAAAAAAAAAAAAAACTTTTGCATGGCAATAAGACACCATGTCAAAAGACAAATGACAACTGAAAGAAAATATTTCTAGTATGTCTCAGATATAAAGAGTTCATATTCTTTACACATGAAGAACTCTTAAAAATTAACGATAAATAAACTCAGAAACCCAGTGGAAAAATGGTCAAGTAATAAGAACATTCACTTTACTTATAAATAAACAAACATTAAATGGCCCTTAGGTCCTCTGTAAAGATGTTTAATCTCATTAATCTCATTAATGATAGAAGAAGTACAAATTTAAAGTATACTGAGAAATCATTTCTCAGCTACCAAACTTGAAACAGTCAAAAAACTAGACAACACACTCTGAAGGTTAGGCTATTGGGAAACAGGTACATCTATACATTGCTGATAGTAATGTGATATGATAAAACGCTTTTGGTGGAGAATTTGGAAAATGTAACAAAATTAAAAATATATTCACTTTTTGATTTAGGAGCTTCACGTGTAGAAATTTACCCTGAAGATACACTCTCATCAGTATAAAATATATTTACACAAGGCTTTTTTGTCACATCATTATTTATAATTGTAAAATATTGCAAACACTTAAATGCCCACACATAGGATAGTAGTTGAATAAACTATGGTATACAATGGAGTGCTGTGCAGCTGTAAAAAAGAATAAAGAAGACCCCTAGTAGCTTATATAGAATGATCTCTAGGATATATTGTTAAATGAAAAAAACATAGTGCAAAATGTGTGTATAATATGCTACCTTTGTGAATGAAATATGGGGAAATGAGAAAATAGACATGTATCTGCTTATTTTGCAAAAAGAAATATAAGAAGGTTAAACCAATAACTGAGAAGATAGGTTGCCTATAAAGAGTAGGTAGAATTAAGGTAGAAGTGATTGTTGGGGGCAGTGACAGACACATCTTTAAGTTTACCTTTTGGAACTGTCTTAATTAAAAGAAAACTATTTTTCTCATCATACCACTGCTCACAACAAATGCGTGAGTTTTCTACATCAAGCAATTCTCCATTTTTCTTCAGACATCAATTAGGTATCCTACAATTTAATTCAGTTATGCCACTTTCTGGAGTTATTGCAGACTCCACCAATTAAGAGCGCATTCCCACAGGACTGTCCCCACCTTCCAATGCCAATTGTAAGTAGTGAGTTCCCTGTTAGCCACATTTCTTTCCAACTTGGCTCTAAATTGGGATTCCCACGACCCCCTCCTCAGGTTTGATAATTTGCTATAACAGCTCACAGAACCTAGAGAAATACTTAATTTACTATTACCAGTTTATTTAAAGGATACAAATGATCAGCCAGATGGACAGGAACATAGGGTGAGATCCAAAAGAGTCCCAAGCCCAAGAGTTTCTGTCCCTCTGGAGTTTGGAGTACCCCACTCTGCTGGCATGGGGATACATTCACCAACCTGGAAGCTCTTCAAGCCTAACAGAGGTTCTTTTAGGTAGGCATACTTGATTAAATCATCAGTCCTCAGTGATTAGCTCAATCTCCAGCCCTCTCTCCTTTCTGGAGGGTGAAGGGAGAGGCTGAAAGTTCCAGGCTTGGTCTTTCTGGTGACCAGTCCCCATCCTGAAGCTATCCAGGAACCCACCAAGAGTTGCCTTATTAGAACAAGAGGTACTTCTATCACTCATGGAATTACAAGGGTTTCAAGAGCTCAGTGTCAGGAACTGGGTAAAGACCAAATGTATATTTCTTATCACGTCACATAATGTGTAATCTGCAACATTGGGAGGGACCTATGGAATATGAAGAAAAATAAATGAGCCTGTGTTATTCAGTAGAATAATATAACTACACCAAAAGGGGAAGGGGTGTGAACTAACCCAAATAGCTTTTGAACATAGTACTTTAATTCAGTCTAAAGACAAAAGAACTGCAAACAAATGTTGAACTCTAGTTAGAAGATTTATTTTTCATAGTGATATGAGAGTAATTTCAAAACTACTTTTCGTTTTATAGGTTTGAATGAATAAGTAAAATACATTAAGGATATTGTGAACCAGGTAGCTTACTGTTAGAGAAGAGAGTTACAAATAGAAAGGGGGGAGATCAGAATGAATTCTATTGTGTCGAATTGGAGTTGAAGGTATTAATAGGAACTCATGGTTTTTAATATATTGATGGAAATAAATGTAGGTATGTGTGAATATTCATTTATGTTTATATTTATATTCTTTTATGCACTGAAAGGACTTAGAAGAAAGATACCCCAATAGCCCTGAGCACTCCTAGTTCTAAGATCTTGGTTTCTAAGTACTATTTTCCACTAAGAAGAGCCAGGACTCCTTGGAGAAATGTATAATTCCAATTAGACATTCAGGTGGAGTGCTGAATTCTTTTGTGGCCAAAGTGGCTATCAAGTAACATCAGCCCTTATATTTTAACAAAAATGATTAATAGAAATCACCTAGACATCCCTTTTCAACAATTAAGGTAGTGATAGATTATCCTACAGAAGTGAACACTTTAAGAGCCAGGAACTAATGAAGGCAAATGTTTAATCTTTCAGATATCCACACAGAAGCAGTTCAAGCTGCACTGGCAAAGCATAAAGAACAGAAAATGGCTTTGCCCATGCCAACCAAAAGACGGTCCACATTTGTACAGTCTCCTGCAGATGCCTGCACGCCTCCAGGTAGGTCTATTAGAACCTTTCTCTCTGACAATTGTTCCTAAAATTAGTTCTACTTTTTCTTTTCTGCAGAGGAGTGAGAACTCTCTCCTCATCAGAGGTATATAAAGTCCACACTGAAGGTGGCAGGTTTTGGTTGTTGCACTATAAATAACACATAAAAAGAATCCTTAATAGTGAAGCTACTTAAAGAAGTTTTTTTCCTTCTGAATTTCTGGCATATCCTCATTGTAACTCCCAAACTCATGTAGCCATAAGTAGATACAGGCTAAAGCTTAGGATCTGAAAAAGTCCTGCTGTGGTTAAATAGCAGTTTTCATTAACATCCAGAATATGACCCGTGGTCATGTATTTCCTTAACAAATTTACACTCCTAAATCAGATGCTTTGTCTCTGCGGTAGTCATAGGAGTAAGTAGATTTAGGACAAAATTTTGTGTGTCATTAAAGATGGTTGGGAGAGCCGTCATGTGAAGTTGTAATAAATTTGAAAATTGTATATGTGTGTTTATGTGTATGTGTATTAATGTATTTTATATACATTTATATATTTTTAAGAATCACTTTCTATAATGGGGTTATGAGATCAGTGGGAACTAAGTGTCTTTATCTCATCCCCATTCCCCAAGCTCCCTTACTTTCCCTAAAGTAAATTTAAAAGTTACAACTTCACATTTGAGGAGCAACTGGAACAACTTTAAGTTGTCTTATCTATTCAGAAGCTTTCCCAAAGTTTTTAAAACCTTTAAAAAAAATTTAGATGAAATCCCAGCCAAGATCTCACTATAGGCCCCTGAGACTAAAGATAGTACATCTATTTTAGAGCTTCAGTGTAGCGTCTGTGTCCTTACTGTCATGTTACTGGTAATGAAATCTCTGGGTCAGAAAACTTCCCCTTACTGTTTTGGTCTAAACTACTTACTATCTCTTTTTGGGAGATTCCCAGGAAGGTTACGTTGCTGTGATTGACTTTGATTCACAGCTGTCAAGTTGAGTTATTCATGCTGATCTTATTCCCTGGCCCAGGTTCATAGTAATAGTTTTCTAGATTTGGGCTAACTTCTCAGAGCTTTTGGGTGTGCTGTGAGCTCATTAACTGTGTGTGCTTTTTTTTCTTTACATCTGTGGTGTCAATATGTTTGAAAGAGAAATAGCTCTGTGGCTTCAAGTGTTTCTCAAAACGTAACACAGGATACCTCTAGCAGATCATCACAATGAGACATTTTGTGTCTATAATGGTGCATACTTCCAGCCCACTCATTCAAAATCTTGGATGATTTCCCTTCCGCATTCGCACAACACCAGTTGGGTCTTCATGGACAAAGGGGGCTCTCATTTAGTAGCTATTCCTTGTTGGCAGATCATGCTGCAGCGCAGCCGGGAGTTCAGTCGTAGCAAATGGCAAAGGGTAGGGAGCAGTTCTTGGAAACAATCCTCTCCAGAGCTGTATTAAAGAAATGCAGTTTCAGAGTAAATGGTCTGCCCTCATGGCCTAGGGTTAAATGTGAGAGTGCAGCAAAGGATCTTGAGAATGCTCAGAAGGAATGGAAACCTTTTTTATCCCTTTTTACAAAAGTCACTGCCTGAGGGGAATTCACCAGCTCTAGAAACAAATCGTGGCTGTTCCTGGCTGAATGAGACCATAGTCCTTTGGAATTCACTACAGGCCTCTGTATTTCTGAACGAGAATGTTCTATTCTGTCTACAGCCTTGAAGATATGGTATAAATGTTCTTGATCACCTTGCATGTTTTAATAATTTCATCATTGTAAAGATTCAGTCCTCTCTCCTAAGACCTTTATTTAGCAGAGTAGAATAATAAAAAGGTTTCCTCTCCATTTATCTCCTGTTCTGAGGATCTCTGAATAGTATATGAGAAACTTTGATGTGCTCTTAGGGACATCAGTGTTGTCAAATAGAATTTTTTCCCATCATGAAGGAACATGGAGAGCACCCTCCGTAGTGATTTCTCACACACTGCTCACATGGAGCTGGATCTTGATGCTCTTGGTCAGTAAATACACACTTGCCTAGGACAAATACTGTGAGGGAATGTGGAAAAAGCTGTATCATAAGGTGTCTGTTAGCATCTTTCATTTTGGGAGATGGAATTTGCTATTCTCAAGTTAGGATTTGGAAACTGTTCTCTCCAAGCTTCTGAGAGACACCATTTAGAGACTTAGCTGTCTCCTATTCCTATTACAGTTTAAACTTACATCACTGTCTCCCAGAACCTCTTACAGTCTGACCCAGGCATGGCAGGTAGGTTTCATCTTGTCCATTTACTTCGATTTTCCCTGAATTACTGGTGTTTAGAAGAATGCCCAGTCTGCACTGAAGGGATAGGGAGGAAGAAGAGAATTGACATTAATTATTGCCAATTAAAGGCTGTTTTTAAAAAAACAGGTTCTAGGCAGCTATAGAAATGACCTCCCTATGACTTTGCTTCTGGAAAAGTTGTGCCACTCTTGCAGCGCAAAATTAACCTCAAGTTTCATAGTATTTTAGTTGTGTTTGTCTTTGTGCGCTGAGAGGTGACACCCACCACACATGACTCTGGTCAAGGATGTTTGACCTGTCAAGGCCCTCACTCTACATATGTTGGCCAGTGTGAGCCTAGTTTCTGGGATAGCTGCTTGAGCACATTAGTCAGTCAGCTTCTTTGGGGCAGTGGGCACTCAGCACATAATATTGAAATTACTGAATTGATGACAATATAGAACTATTTTTGGAGGGATTTAATAACAAGGATTTAAGGAGTAAAATATGTCATAAATCTTAGTATTATGTAGTCTGGAATATATGGTAAACAGTTGGTATAGGAAATAATTTGTCCTTTGTTCATAAATCATGCTCAAATAATAAAGTTTCAATCAACTTAAAATTTGCTTATTGATATGTACACTGATTTCTATCTTACAGATTGAAATTTTTTAATTCTCCAAGTTGGCAGCAATCTATGATTCTTTTAGTGTCTGTGTCCTTTTTCAGAGTCTTTTAGACTGCTTGAATTACTGCCATCCAGTTCCCTTTATGTGCTGAAATCATTTACTAATGTCATGAGGCAATTACCTCAGCTCTTTCTTTGTGGGGGTTCTTTGTATAACCCTATTACTCATTCACAGGGATAAACACAATGCAAAAACTGCAGCATATATTTTCCCCCCTCTAAGCTTTTTCTGCACCCATGTGGACTTACCCTACACTGTATTCCAAGGGTGCCCGAATGACCATATTGACCACATAATGACCCAAAAGCACAGTAAGCTATTTGAACAGGCTTGAGTAGAATGAAGCTTAAATTTAGACGTCTGTCTCACACAGGGCCCTGCTTGAAAGTGACTGTAGTAGTAATTCATAGGGCCAGACAAGAAGAATTTTACCTCTTTATTTTTCTTGACACCTGTGGACAGACTGGGGCATTGTTATGCTTTTAGCATATTTCAATAATATACAGTAATAATTAAAGCATATAAAGGACTTTCACATACCCATGGCTGCCCTGCCCGACTTACCCCTTACAAGGGCTCTGTGAAGCAGGAAGGGCATATTTCTTTAGAAATAGGTTCATAGTCATCTAGGAATTTGCCCCAGGTCAGACAGCAGTTATGCATCAGACTCAAGTCTTCTTGATTTTGTTTTTCACTCTTATTATCATTTCATTTTTGGGAACTCTTTTTTTACTTAATAGCTACTCACGTATGCATGGCATTGAAATATAGGTATTATTCCAAACAAATTGAATAGTTATTGCCCTCTGAGAGCATATAGCTCCAAGCATATACCAGTCAGTTAATTTGAATTTAAAAGAGATTACTTGCCTGAATTACCAACTTGGGGAGTTTTTCCTAAGTATTCTAATTTTATTCAAAACTGCAGAGTAAACAGCTGGTGAATCAGACCTCTGAAAATGTGCTCTAATTAATAGATTTGGATCATTTTAATAGCATACTTTCATTATTGGTATGGGTTATGAGCAGTTGTCCATAGTAACTTGGGAAACTAGTAATATTTAATATTCTTTAAGCCAAAACCCCACTCTATCAGACTGAATTTATTTCAATAGCCAGTTGTAAAATTTAAGGTTTGCCAATAAAAGTAATTTTATATTTACCATTTATTGAGTATCTTCTGTGTTCTAGTCAAAGGGCTAAGTGCTTAATATATAGTTTTTCATTTTTAGTTCTCTTGATGATCCTCTGTCCCATTTTACAGATGAGAAAACAGGTTTAGAGAGGCTCAATAACTTTCCCAGACTTCTGTTTCTAGATAACCTGAAAAATTTCTCCTAGAAACGAGGGAAATAAAACTTCCCATTAGAAGTGCAGGATAAAATATAACCAGCTTTCTTTTAAATAACATGCAGGGCTAAAATGAGCACAATCACTGAAAATCAGAGTGGTGAGATGGGGCACATTTTGTCTGCCCTGGGGAGAAAGAGGCAGTAAACTAGGGACCTAAGTTTTAGTTACCATAAGGGTAGAAAAGGTAAAACCTTGGACCTATGTCAGTTTGGAAGCTGGACTCGAGATCCCTGGATAGGCTTGTATGTTCAGCAGAAGAGTGTATTTGAAAAAATTAAACTGCCAAAGATGTTGGGAAGGCTTGCCTTGTGCCTGGCCTTGGGATAATGGGCACAGGAACCTTCCCTAAGAATCTGTGGTCACTGGTTACAAGATTTAAGTTTCACTATTGCTCCCAGTAAGAACTAGCATTAAAAAGTGAACTACCATAAAAGGCTGATGATGATAACCCTCTTGCACAAAGGGTTTCTGGAAGGATACAACCTTAACCCAGGGACTTGGGATTCCCACAGATAAAGATCCACTGAATGTGAGCAAACAGTTCAAAAATAGAACACATTCACTGTGAGAGAGAATCCATAGGTAAAGAACACCAAAGAACAGAATGAAGACCCCTAGAACCAATTAGCCCAACATCCAGCAGTCAGACTTTAAAAGCACGTTCCTACCACTTGGCATATTACCTCTTCTTCTACCGTAT